ACCCCTAAATTGTGTTTGTTTTTCCATGGGGATTTTCCATCGTAAACCATCCAGCTATTGGAGTAGCCGCATGTGACCTCCAATGGTCATCGCATGTCATCGCATGTCATCGCACGAGGCTGAAGCACTGTGAGTCCATCGTGGAGCCCAGGATCACCATGGAATTTCATCTATCATGAAGAAATATCATATGAACTCATGAATAAAGTCTAACATAAAAGTCGTGTATAAAAACTGTATAATATATATATATATATACATGATTATATGTATATTCTATATATATACTGGAATATAAGTATATATATATATACTCCATGTATGACTCATGCAGCGCAAGCTGCTTGGTGGCTTCGAAGCTCCATTTCGACATCGATTTGTGGCCGCCAGGACTGCACACAGAGAATCATGGGGGATGTCGGAGCCCCAGGGGCACCTAAAGGGGCCGCCGATTGGCCCCTTTATTCAGAGATGGTCAGATGAATCCATGTGAATTCCAGCAAATTTTAGTAGTCCACGATTTAGAGTAGATTGAGTAGATCATAGATCCCAAGATGTATCATACTGTGGATGGAAGAAATTAAACCACCAGTTGATAGATGGTTTATGTATCCCATTATTCATAGGGTTGAAAAACCATCCTTTTGGTGGTGCAGGATTTCGCAACCCACAGTATTATCATATCTACTTGGTGGTTTCACATAGCATCATATCAGATCAAATATCATCATCATATCTCTTAGTGGTTTCATAGTCTATCAACCATATTACCCTCTGATAAACGTTTACATAACTCTGGAAAATCACCATATGTTTAATATATATATATATATTTTTAACGAACTAAATTACTAAATGGCCATGTTCAATAGCGAACTGTAAGAAATTACCAGTTTAGTCGTTGGTGGTTTTCATATCAACCATCGACTAGTGCTTTGTTCAACGCCAAGGATGATGACCTGGAAAAGCAGGCCCAGGACACAAAAACAGGGCTGATCTGGGATGGCCGGGGAGGCATCTTGAACATGTTCACATCTTTATGCATGTCTATATATAATTATATATATATATATATGTTATATATATATATGGGTATATGAATAGATGTTCTACTCCATACATATATATATATATATGATTACATGATTACATGATTACATGATTACATGATTGTATAGTATTATATATACATACATGTATGAAAACATATTATATATATAGGCAATATATACTACGTGCATTTACATTCTATCTGTGCGCCTGGCGGGAGGAGATGGCCGAAAAGGCCTTGCCGAGCAGTTCCTGGGATGGAGATGTTCCGAAATGGCTGGGTTCGAAAGTTGACATAGATCTAGCATTATGTGCAATCGGTAGTGGTTAAGCATATGCACATATATATATATACTACACATATATACAATCATATACAATTATATGATGTGTTTATACATGAGGTGGTTAAGGATAGATAACGCCACATCCCTGCTCTTGTCAACAGCATCCGCATGATAATTCGAGATGCAGCCACTCTGTATCATGATTTATATATATATATATATATGTGTGTGTGTCTCCAAGCTCAGTTGTTTTGTGGTTGCAGCGTTTGTTTTTTTAATTCCAAGTGGGATGATGATGATGATGATGATGATGATGATGATGATGATGATGATGATGATGGTCATGGTCATGGTCATGGGCATGGGCATGGTTACTGTTGTTTGTGTGTCCCCCATTGATTCTTTTCACGAGATTCCTGGAACTCCAACATCCATTATCTTTGAATATGTTTGATAAAACACCTACTTGGGTATATGTATATATGGGGGTTTCTTAAAATGGGTGACCCCAAAACCATAGGTTTCGATACTAAAATGGTCTAATTTTGGATGATTGGGGGTATCCCATTTTAGGAACCAAATATATATATATATACATACATAATCATATAGTTATAAATATATATATATATATATATTATACATTAGCTGGTTGGACCCCCACATGATGCTTAAACCAACCAATCATCTACTTTGAATGCCCCTCATCATCCCAATTTTCATCTACAAACATTTACAGATCTTGATGAGAATCCCCTCGACGATGTTAGTTGGTCAAGCTCTCTTGCATGGTCGTCCGGCTGATGTGTTCGGTGGTTTTATCTAGTGTTCAATCATCATTTTGGGATGAATTGTGAAAAAAAATTATTCCCAGTTTTTCTTTTCCAACTGTCCGAGGAAGGTTTCTGTTCCCATTGGAAAAGCCATGGGTTTTCCAGCTTTTCCAACTCCCAGGGTTTTTGTCTTGGGGACGACTGGGGACTTGAGGAAGCTACCACAGCTCGGAAAAACAGCCGCCGTGACAAGTTGAGGTCTCCCAGAGGCTGCGCGACGGGCCAAGATCCCAGCGATCAAACAGAAGATCTTGGAGCGGCTGAAGGTGGGATCCAGGTCCTCCAGGTCCTCCAGGTCCTCCAGGTCCCCTGAAAACATACGGTGGGTGGCTTTTAGCCATGGAAAAAACCATGGTGGATATGGTGCTTCTGTTCCCATGAATTCGAAAGATATGGAACAGCCATGATCTACTTGATGATTCTTACTGGAACGTAAGCATCAAAAGTGGTGAACACGTGTGATCTAGCCAACAAAACTGGGAAGTTAACCATCGAAGATTGTGATTGATCATCTCCCGAACTAAGATGACGAGCATGCAGATAGGTTGGTGAGTTGGTGGAAGACAATTCTTTCCAAGCTTAAAACACATGCTTATTCTCAGGGTCAAACTGTTGGTGTGGGGATGGTACTGTCGATGTTTTGGGATCGGGATACCGGGGCATGGGTGGTATACCAACCATTCTGGTTGAAGTGATGCTTAGTAGGGGGAAGCATCCCAAAATTAATGTGATTTACCTCAGTCACTTATAATTCAGCCATATATTGATTATGTTGTTGGTTATGGTTATACCATATATATATATATATATATGTATATATATATATATATGTATATGCATACATACACCTTCTATTAAGACTGGTTAGATTCAATCAAAGATGATCATGGATCTGTGGTGCTGTGGAAGGAGATCAGGTATTCAATCCTCCTTATACACTGCCTAAATGGTTCCAATTATATGCGTAAATCTGCCCCTAACCCCTAGTTCTGGGGTGTTTTTAATTCGGGAAAGGAAAGGGGTTCTTGGGGTGTTGATTGTAATTTACTGGTAGCCAGTCACAGGTTCTAGTCCTCACGATGGCACCATTTGTTACCCAACATCCTTCGGGATAATTTTGGAGACCCTCATTTGATGTGGCTCTGCGACTATTTCTAGCTTTCTGAGAGTCTGGAATTGAAGAACTTCATGCCGTTGGGTCACCTCTTGCTGTAAGAATGCGGTCAAATTGCTGTGCAGGCTGCAGATAATTACATATAGTTTCATATAATTTCATATAATTACTTGTTTTTCACGATAATGGACCATTGCAACAAGATCATGGGATTGATTGGATGATTTATTGATCATGATGTATCAGAAAATTATCCATGATAAATGTTATTGCAGTTATGATTATCCCATGATCAATAATTTATCCATGATAACGTTGTTATCACCATGACAACATCCATGGCTCGCATTTCTGAAAAACCATCCTGCAGGCGCAGAAGGTGGAAAACGCCTCGAAGCCTGCGCCGAAAGCAGGCGAGGAGCTGGTGTGGCAAAGGACCTGATGGTGGACTAGGACTTTTTGCTTTAAAATCTTAGGCACTTGGGTGTTTAACCATGTTGAACCATGTTGAACCATGTTGAACCATGTTGAACCATGTTGAACCATGTTGAACCATGTTGAACCATGTTTAACCATGTTGAACCATGTTGAACCATGTTTAACCATGTTTAACCATGTTTAATCATGTTTAACCATGTTTAACCATGTTGAACCATCAAAAACGGAAGTTTTGCATGATTCAGCCATCATATATGGGGTGTTCACCCATGAACAATTCGCATCGGCAGCGTCAGGAAATAGAATGCTATGATGTTATGGTGTTTTTGTAAAGCCTGAAAACAGGTTTTTGTTTCCATCCAAGTGAGGGAATATGTTCAGGTACCTTCAGGTACCCAGCCCTCCAGGTTTTTAGTGCCAGCAGCCTCCAGGTGCACTGGTTCCAACATCCGTGCCAGCGCAGGTGCCATGGAGATGGTCGACATTTTTTTGAATTCTGAACGGAAGATGTTGGTGGTTAATGAATGACATTCAACTAATGAATGATTCTCATGATTCATGAAGAGATTGTGTAACTAAGTAGTATAAGTATGTATAAGTATCATTGATACTATTTGGAAGATATCATTCACATTTGACATCATTTAACTAGAATCGCCAATGAACCACTTGGTACCAATTACTCACCAGTTATTATATACTCCCCATATCATCAAATATGGCCAGCTGGCAAATCATCGAACTTGGGCAGAATACCTCTCACTCCTGGCACCGTGAAAATACCTGTCCGTAGCGCCGTAGCTATTCTTACTGACAACTATCCGTCGTGGCAGATTCCAGAAATCTTTGTCAAGAATCCCATGAGCCATCAAGCGAAGTATTGACCGACAGCCCTGCTGCTTGCTGGCCTATTTGGCCATGTTTTCCAGTTTTCCATGGCCAAAAATTGAAGGATGAACCCCAACTGGCGAAATCATGTCCATTAAAATGGTATGTGTGTTCTCAAAAATCCCGAGTTGTCAGGGAGGGTCAAACCATCAACTAGTGGATGTTTACCATTGTTTTCAATAATTGTTGGCCAATCTTTCCATTGCAACTGATCTCTATCCCTATTTGTCTCCGATGATTTTTGTGGAACTTCCTAACCAACCCATTCCAAAGGTGGTTTTCGGGTTATTGCATGTTTGACATGCTGAGAATGCTGCTTGCTGTAGTAAGTTCCTCCATTAGGGTTTTTCCCATTGATCATTGGATTATATTCTCAGTTCCGAACCAGCCACCGAGCATTATCCTTGAATGATACTCCCGTGTTGGATCAAATACTATTTCATTGTTTTCTTATCCTCCATCTGGTTCAAAGATCAGTCTATTCATCGCAAGAATCATCAAAAATCCCTATGGCCCTGATAGTCGGCTTGTCAAATCCCCGTTTTCGGCTGTTGAAATCTCCCATGTCGGGATTCAGCTAGGCTCCTGTTCAGCCGCCTCCACCTGCTGGACAGCCACCAGCACCTCCACCACCGCCCTCTGATGTGGCCTGGGGACCTGGAAAGGGAAACCATTGAGGCTTTTGGGGGTTTCCCATTGAATATCCACAATTTCAATGGTTAAGTTGACAACAACAGACCTTGATCATTGAATAAGTTCTCTTCGAGGAGAATGATCTTGGTTTTCCATATCACTCCATATCTGTGTTAATTTGCTGGAGAGTACTGCACAAATTGATGTTCAAAACCATAGGTTCTTGATTTGAAGCCATAAAGAATCAACTTTTCAATTGAAACTACAAGTTATGAACCACACCTACTATATATACTAATCGTAACACTTGTAATTGTACTAAGTTGGACGGATTTTGTTGGATGGATTTACGGAGGTTAAGGATGATCCTCCCCACCTTGTGATGAACATATTAACCGCTAGCGTTTGTAGATTTTAAGCGCGTCTAAGCCGGAAGTAGACCACCATAAAGTGGTGAATTCCGAAAGTCCAAACAGATTTTAAGTCAGAATTAGCCTCTGGTAAACAAGCTAAGAACTATGGAAAATGTTACCATTTTCAATAGCTATGTTAGTCATGACCAGAGGGTTAGTCATTGGGATGAAAGTGGTGGACATTCCGATCATCCGGCTGGAATCCAATGGTATCCCACTTTGAAAACCAATTGGATAAATGGAGATATCATGGGTATACTATTAAATAAGAGAATAACTTGGGAATAACTTGGACCTATCATTCCCATATATTCCCAATATTCCAGGTATTTCCACAATAAAGACAAGCCACTGAAACTCTATGCTGCTACTTCGCCCGTGGATCAGGGCGTGGGAGTGGTGAGACTTAGTGGTGTGGAGATCTGTGGCGATGAGCCCTGGTGCCTTGGTTGCCTTGGTCCTGTTGGGTAACCCCAATAGCTGGAGGCTTTCTTTAAGGGAACATATGGAACATCCTATGAAAAAATGGATGACAACTGGGGGGTACTTCCCTCTACAAGTCATGGGAAAGCACTTAATATTTACTTCGGTGTCCTCCCCGAAGTCGTCCAAGTCATTGGACCATTTTAGTATTGAATGCCATGGTGAGTTGGGGATCCTAAATACAAATCTCGAGCCAAAAATGGATTTTGGTGTATAGTTTGTTTGCAGAATTGCAGGGTATGTATAAATCTCTATGATAGTGGAGCTGTATAGTTAAATATAGTTAATGATCTAACATGACCACCTTGGTTCACATGGTTCAACATGTATTGTATGTTTGGTCCCATGTATCTCCCAATATACATTTAAATCCCGAACTGAACATGGATTGATGACTAATCCCTTTTACTTGCAAGAAAACACCCCATGTTTTGACCATGGCACAAAAAAGGTAATCATCTAAAATGACATCTAAAATGACCAAAATGCATTGTATTTTCCAGCAGCAGTCACTTAGATTGGGTTTCAATCTCTGAGTCTGGGGCTGGTGCGTCGTCTTTTGCCGAGCCCAAAAACCGGAACGGCACCCTGGAACCCTGGAACCCTGGAACCTTTATTGCTGTTGGGTTGCAAAGATTGGTTAATTTGGGTGCAGCCAATCATCATTCATAGTGCACTATACCCTATGGATCCAGCCGTACCTTGACAGGAAGTATGACTGGGCTATGATTTTTTTGGGGTTAGCCGTAGCTTCTCAGAAAGTATTTGGATCCTGTCAGGATACGCTCTGGTAATTTAACATAACTATGGAAAATCACCATGTTTCATGGGAAAATCCATTATAAATGGCCATTTTCAATAGCTATGTTTGTTTACCAGAGGGTAATACATGATTCACCAAAAAAGCGAATATTCACCCGCAAGAAACATATGATATATGTGATCGTCTGGGGCCCATTACTACACTCCAATTGAAAAGGCTATATGAAGGGGGGGATCCTATGGGTAAATTATCCATTATCCATAGTTAAACATAAGGATCCATAATTACCCATATAGTTATCCGCAATGACCGATAATTCTCCACAAAATTTTCCATATAATTATCCTAGTAACTATCCATGATTATTATGCACAATTATCCATTAAAAAAACCATCGATTATCCTTTATAATATGATCCTTTGGGCATCCGGCCAGTATCCTCAGGTTTGCCGATGCGGCCATCCGGAAGCGCCTGAGGGAATCCGTCAGGATCCCAGCTGGATGATTTGACTGGATGGTTTTCCACACAGATTTCTGTGGAACTTTCTCCTGAAAAAACGTGATTTACTGTGGCTGGATGATGCTGGATGCCAGGAAAACAAAGATCCCATTTTATATCCGAGTTATAAGTGTTTTTTTTTCGTTTTTGTGGAAAACTCCCCTAAGCTCGGAACGTGTATTTTTTGATTGAGGAGAGAGATTTGCGGAGAAACAAGTTCCAAGGGTTGGTGAAGGTGAACCAGTGACTTTGTCTCCAAAAACGCTCTAGAACAAAGACTCCTTACACCCAATATAATTCGATACTTTTTCATCTAACTACACTGCAACCCCTGAATTTCAGCAGAATCTGAAGAATGGGAAAATTTTCTTCCAACCCATGTTGTTTCTAAAAAAATAAGATGCGCATTTTCTTGGGAAGGCTACCTTTCCCAGCCCAGAACTGACATTTTCTTCAGCCCAATGCAGGTTGCAGATGCTCACAAGGAGCAGAAGATTCTCGTAGGACCTCCAGCAGATGAGGTGGTACGAATATGCCCTGAGGCGGGCGGATGAAAAACGTGTCCCACCGGGTGGGACACCCCCTAGATCTACCGGTGTTTACTGATTCATATAGATCTGAGTTAGCGACTCACTATGAGATTTATAAGGCATGACATGATGATTTGGCCTTCTCCCCGCTTTCGGATGTTTCAAAGCATCATTCTCTCTCTTGAACCGTTTTGGATACTGAGTCGGCGCATATACATATCGAAAAACTCTCAACAAAATGTTCAGCGCATCAATGTATGAGTTGTTGACTTTATTTCCTTTGACCCCGCTCATTTTTCCTTGACTAGTACGTCATATATCATGTACATGCCATTACATTCCACCATTCCCATTTGTTTTGCTCCCTGAACTCCCCAAATTCCAAATTCGGTGTGACCCCAATGGGTTATGTTTGTTGGTTTAGTTTTACCGTTTTACCCCATTCATATCCATATTATAATTATAAAGTATACTATCCCCTAATCAACCGTAGAATTCTCCAAGTTACCCACCGGGTGTCATCAAACATAGCAATTGAAAATCACCCATTGAGTTCGTTGATTTAGCCAGCTAGAAAACAAAAAAACCTCCGTTGATAGGAGATGTCGCAGTTGTTTATCTATAGTTTCCATTAGTTTCCTATGTTTTACCCATTAAAACATATTAAAAGTCCCTGTTGATAGAGGAGTTCCCCATGGAAAACTCCCATGGAAAACTCCCATGGAAAACTTTTATGGGGATCACCAGGATGGCCGCGTCCTTGGCGCCGGCGCCGTGTTGCGCCTGGGCGGCGCCCATCTGGGTGGCTACGGCGAGTCGGACATCGCCTATGCGTATCGACAGGCCCTAGTTCGGTCATGGTGAAAAAGTATGGAAAACTGGGGGACAAAAATTTTGAAATGACCTAAATATATGAGAACTATGATTTTTTATATTTTTTTCACCCAAAAATGATGGAAAGATATTGCTCATCATCCATATATATATATATATATATTTGGGTGAAAAATGGGGGTATAGCTAGATGATGCTAGATGATGCTAGATGGCTAGATGGTTTATTTCATGGAACATCCCATCTATAAATGGATGATTTGAATTTTGGGGTAGCCTTATGACTTCGGAAACCACGTCATTTTGAAACCAATCAGAAGCACGTCCTCAGCTTCCATATGTTTGCCAATGTGTTTCCCTTGGAATGGCTGGATGTTACCCTCTGGTTATGACTAACATAGCCATGGAACATGGCCCATAGAAATAGATGGTTTACCTATTAAAAATGGTGATTTTCCATGGCGAACTGTTAAATAACCAGAGGGAATTCCAAGTCGTTTCCTGAGATCCCATGATCTGCTGTTCACCCGTTGGCCGTGCAAAAAAACACGGCCCCGGCGCCCAGCTTTCTCGAGCACTTCATCCAGATAAGAATCCAGATCTGGACAAGGCGGAGACGAATTCAGAACGGAAATCTTCAGCTGTTGATTGGATCATCCATTTCAGAATCATTCAATCAGCTGTGAATCAGTCAAATAATAAACTGGATATCCGATTTTTCAGATTGGATCATTCAGTGATTCAGTGAATCATTGAGTTTATGGGTAATTATAGTTTATGGGTATATCTCTATAGTTTATGGGTTAATATCGCCATTTCATCATAAACAGTGAATTCGAGGCTCAAGCGGCCTTCCACCGCCTCTCAGAGGCCTCAAATTTGGCGTCCATGGTGAGGAGATGGGATGTTTTTTTTGTTGAGGTTACTGTAATGGCAACAACAACCATAGTAATGGTACCCTCTGGTAAACGTTTACATAACTATGGAAAATTAAATCACCATTTTCAATGGGTAAATCCACGAACTAAATGGCCATTTTCAATAGCTGTGTTAAATTACCAGAGAGTTACAACAACCATAGTAATATAGTCATTACCATAATATTACCCACAGAGTCTAACCGTGTGTTGCCCAGACATTAACATATTGAGAATGTCGTGCTGTCGAATATATGATAGGAGAGATTGCAGAACATACTGCATATACGCAATGTTTTCCAGTTTAGGATTCAAAGTTTCAGAGCCTAGGTTTTAGGGTTTAGGGTTTTAGGGTTTGGGGTTTTAGGGTTTTGGATGGTTTCAGGTTTTAGGGTTTAGGGTTCGTCGTCTGGGAAATCTCAAAGCACTGGCCCTGCGCAGGTGTTTGAGCATGTTGAAGGATAATGTTCGACATGTTTAAACGCCATTTGAACCTTCCGGGCAACACACAGCGCCTGGCCGTAATATTACATTAATTACCATAATATTACTATGGTTACGATAGTCATTACCATAATATGGTAGTACCCATAGTAATGTAATATATGGTTGGTGGTTTGGAACATTTGGATTATTTTTCCATTCAGTTGGAAATGTCATCATCCCAACTGACGAACCCCATCATTTTTCAGAGGAGCAGGTATACCACCAACCAGTAGTAATGTAATTAATAGTCATTACATGTCATTACCATAATATATTAATATGATTACCATAGTAATAACTATATATATAATATACATTATGGTAATAAAAAATATATATGGTTCGGTTGTAAGTTCACAAAGTTCACATTGGTCAGACCATGTTTCCATGCAGTTTACCGATGGTGATGCCAAACGACATCAAACGACCATTGATGGCAGGTGGCCACTGGGACTGATCAGCTCCAAAAAAGCCATCTCTGATGGTATTGTTTCATCCCTTTCCCCCAACAATGCCATGCAGTGCTGGGTAATTCCATGGAAGTCCCATATTTTTTCAGGTATTTCCATGCAATTTCCATCATTTTCCAGGTACCACTGGCACCCATTTTTCCCGAGAGCGTCTGAGCGCAGGGTTCTTCCAATAGTGGAGGTCTGTATCTCATCTTCTCATCTTTCACACCTTCTCATCTTCACATCTTCTCTCATACCTTCTCATATTCACATCTTCTCTCACACCTTCTCATCTTCACATCTTCTCTCACACCTTCTCATCTTCACACCCTTCTCTCACACCTTCTCATCTTCACGTCTTCTCTCACACCTTCTCATCTTCACATCTTCTCTCACACCTTCTCATCTTCACACCTTCTCTCACACCTTCTCATCTTCACATCTTCTCTCTCTCTCACTCTCTCTCCTTTCTCTCTCCTTTTTCTCTCTCTCTCGCCTTCTTTATCTTTCTCTCTTTAGGCCGAGGGTGGTACCGGCGGTGAGTCACGAAACGTCAACCCTTTCGCACGAAATGAGGGGCGATCGTCAAAAACTGAGGAAAAATTGCGATTTTACTTGTGCCGGAGCAACCCTTTCGCACGAAATGAGGGTCGATCGTCAAAAACTGAGGAAAAATTGCGATTTTACTTGTGCTAAAACAACCCTTTCGCACGAAATGAGGGTCGATCGTCAAAAACTGAGGAAAAATTGTGATTTTACTTGTGCCGGAGCAACCCTTTCGCACGAAATGAGGGTCGATCGTCAAAAACTGAGGAAAAATTGCGATTTTACTTGTGTGTAAAAGCTTCTGTGTGTAAAAGCGTCTGTGTGTAAAAGCGTCTGTGTGTAAAAGTGTTTGTGTGTAAAAGTGTTTGTGTGTAAAAGCGTCTGTGTGTAAAAGCGTCTGTGTGTCAAAGCGTCTGTGTGTAAAAGCGTCTGTGTGTCAAAGCGTCTGTGTGTAAAAGACTGTGTGCAAAAGCGTCTGTGTGTAAAAGCGTCTGTGTGTCAAAGCGTCTGTGTGTAAAAGCGTCTGTGTGTAAAAGCGTTTGGGTGTAAAAGTGTTTGTGTGTAAAAGCCTCTGTGTGTAAAAGCGTCTGTGTGTAAAAGCGTCTGTGTGTAAAAGCGTCTGTGCGTAAAGTAAAAGCGTCTGTGTGTAAAAGCGTCTGTGTGTAAAAGCCTCTGTGTGTAAAAGTGTTTGTGCGTCAAAGCGTCTGTGTGTAAAAGCGTCTGTGTGTAAAAGTGTCTGTGTGTAAAAGCGTCTGTGTGTAAAAGCGTCTGTGTGTAAAAGGCTCTGTGTGTAAAAGTCTCTGCGGGTAAAAGCCTCTGTGTGTAAAAGTCTCTGTGTGTGAAAGAGCCTGTGTGTAAAAAGCGTCTGTGTGTAAAAGCGTCTGTGTGTAAAAGCGTCTGTGTGTAAAAGCGTCTGTGTGTAAAAGCTTCTGTGTGTAAAAGCTTCTGTGTGTAAAAGCGTCTGTGTGTGTAAAAGTCTCTGTGTGTAAAAGTGTGTGTGTGTGTAAAAGTGTTTGTGTGCAAAATCGTCTGTGTGTAAAAGCGTGTGTGTGTAAAAGCGTTTGTGTGTAAAAGTCTCTGTGTGCAAAAGCGTCTGTCTGTAAAAGCGTCTGTGTGTAAAAGCGTCTGTGTGTAAAAGGCTCTGTGTGTAAAAGCGTCTGTGTGTAAAGCGTCTGTGTGTAAAAGAGCCTATGTGTAAAAAGCGTTTGTGTGTAAAAGCGTCTGTGTGTAAAAGCGTCTGTGTGTAAAAGCGTCTGTGTGTAAAAGCTTCTGTGTGTAAAAGCTTCTGTGTGTAAAAGCGTCTGTGTGTAAAAGCGTCTGTGTGTAAAAGTGTTTGTGTAAAACTGTTTGTGTGCAAAATCGTCTGTGTGTAAAAGCGTCTGTGTGTAAAAGTCTCTGTGTGTAAAAGTCTCTGTGTGTAAAATTCTCTGTGTGCAAAAAGCGTCTGTGTGTAAAAGCGTTTGTGTGTAAAAGGCTCTGTGTGTAAGAGCGTCTGTGTGTAAAAGTGGCTGTGTGTAAA